ATCTGAAAGTTCACTCCCCATAACCCACATCCACGCATGGACTTACACAAACACACAGTTCCTGAGCAGTGCCGTCCTCGCCTCTCTGCTGCAGCTGGGCAGAGTCCTGCTTGCCACTGCCCTAGGAGGATTTGAGTTCCAGTTTTGAGCTCAAACCACTTGGGTACAGGTGGCAGTCCCCAGGGTAACCCCAAGAGCTAGGGAGACTAGGGGTGCCAAGATGTGCCCATGAGGGGGCCCCTGAGGTTTCTGGGCCTGTTCTGTGATGGGTGGCTATTAATGGATCGCACCCCAGGGTGGGTGTGAAGGAGGTTCCAAACCCCACGTGGTCCTTGCATTGGTACCAGGTCAGTCCGAGTAAGTAAGCCAAGTACCTTCTGAGATTTTCCTTCCTCCTCTTGGGAAGGAGGTTGACCAGGTCAACTCAGCTCCCACCCAACCCCAGGGTTTTCAGACTGTTGTGTGAATGCACACACATGTACTCATGTACCAGCATGGATGACCCCTTCCATGTGCAAGTCCTGGAAGTGGGGTAAGTAGATGAGAAAACGGAGGCTCAGAGAGGTGGCTCCGTTGAAACTTAAGTCCCTGCCACCCACTGCGGTTGGTCATGTGGTATTGTGTATAGGTCACGGATCAGGGGCCATACTGTGGCCAGCATTGGCTATTTTCCTCCCAGAATGACTAGTCAGCTTTGGAGCTAGGCAAGGCTCAGGGCTGCTTGCTGGAATCTGAGGATGAGTCCAACTTATCTCCCACCCAGGAACTTCTCCAGTGATCAGGGAAAAGAGAAGGAGCTGCCTGACAGTACCTGGGGCAGGGAGGCCCCTGAGAGCAGCTGCTCAGCCAGCCCCTGAGGCGTGAGGGAAAAGGACATGGGCAGAGGGAGCCACATATGTGCAGGGTTGAGGTGGCGTGAAGCATCATGGGTGTTTACTAGTAGGTTGTGGTAGATTCCTGTAGTCCCAAAGGGCTGAGGCTGAGAGCTGCCAGGCCAGGCTGCAGTGTCTGTGGTGATGGGCATTTCAACCACAGCAGCACAAGCGGAGAGTGCAAGGTAATGAGCTCCTTGTACCCAGCCCTTGGCATCAACAATTGTTGACTCATGGCCAATCTTGTCCTCCAGACAGAGTATCATGTCTGTAAGTAAACATTTCTCTCTGCCTCTCTGAAAGACAAGGATTCAATAAAAAATAAAATAACCACATTACCAATATGTAACTGTAATATTTTAAAGTAATTCCCTAATATATCATCAAATAGGCAATAAGTGTTCTAATTTCCCATTTGTCATAAATATACATACATTTTACAGTTTGCTTATTTGAATGAGATCCAAATAAAAGTCCACTATTGTAGCAATAGGTTGATTGCTCTTTCATCTTTTGTGTGTGTGTGTGTGTGTGTTTCCAGCTTATTTATGAAAGAAACCGAGTTGTTTGTCCTGTGGGATTGACCACTGTCTGGATTTCATTGCCTGCATCCTGTTGGTGGCTTTTAACACGTTCTTTGTCCCTTGCATTTGCCATAAAATAGAATTTAGCTCTAGAGGGTTGATATGGTTTAGGTACAAATGTTTTTTGACTTGACTGTTCTGGAAGCACGAAGTTATCTCTGTACCTCTCTCTTTTCTGATGTTAAAAGTGATCGGTGATCATTACCGATTAATTAATAGCCTCTGCTAGTGACTATAGTGTTGCTGCAAAAGCTTTTTGTGAGGCTTAGGCATTACCATTAATTCTTCAGTGGTTACAAAATGGTGTTGGTCTAATGTTAATCATTTCTTCTTCCTGTATTGGCTGGAATTCTTTTCCAGATAAAGACTTCCTTTCGTCTGCTATTTGATTACCCTCGGGAACAGTTGGTATACAAAAGCAAGATAAATGCTTGATTCTTTCAATTTCCCAGTTTCAAAAACTCGAGCTGAAAAACCCTCCTCCAATAATGACAAAGTATTTGTTTTTGTTAAGTATCATTTTGATCCATGACTTTGAATATACTTGATGTATATTCCATTGCAGTTATTATCCTCACAGATGCTCAGATTGGCCCATCTTTCACCAGTGGAACCTCTTCCTGCTGGTCCCTGAATCTTTCGTCCTGGCCCTAGGAGCCTGGGATGGCTTCCTTGATGGCATGTCCAGATATGGTTTGGGAAGTTTTTTGGTAGGTGTGCTCCTGTGGCTGGCAGCAGAGAGAATGAGAGGCAAGAAGGCTGGCCTAGGGCTCCAATGGCTGATACAGGAGGGCAAATTAAGGCCCTTGAGGACCCCTGACTCTACATCCAGGCCCTGGAGCCTCATTAGCTACTTCTTGAGCCACAGAAGGCTCAGAGCCAAGCGCTGAGTTTGGCTAATGATCCTCCTGAGGCCCCAGCAGCACCTCCCAGCACCCTGCCAGGGCTGTCCCCTCTCCCTCTTGCGCAGTCCAGAGCATTCAGAGCAGGGCAGGGTGGGGGCAGTGCCCATGTTCTCAGCTTAGGACTGCCTGTTGCTCTGTGCCCTTGGGAGCTGCTTGCTTCTCTGAGGACCTCAGCCTTCCCTCCTGTGCAGTGGGGACAGTAACCCCCACCCTGCATGTGGCCCATTTTTGATACCGCTTTCTGTCCTGACAGAAAAGTGGGGAGAGAGCATGAGGAGTCAGGGCAGGGGCTGGCTGGTCATCATTACTTAGAAAGGACACAGACATGGACATGACTAAAAAGGGTCATAAGGAGGTCAGGGAAAGGAACCAGCCAGTCCTGAGCCCTTGCTGGCTTCTAGACAACAGTGCTCAACTGTGAAGCCATGGGTTTGAATCCTGCCTCCCTCACCTGTGCCCCTGGGCAGCCGTCTGCTAGTGACTATAGTGTTGCTGCAAAAGCTTTTTGTGAGGCTTAGGCATGAAACAGTAACAGCCTGGCCGTGCACCTCACGGGCTCCATTAGTGGAGGCATTGCCTCTCCCTGTGGTTAGCGTTTTCATTTCCTTGGTCTCAGATGTCCCACTAGGGAGCATTTCCCTTTGCCAACATCCCTGTGATGGTTAGAGGTGCGTAAACAGAAGCATCCTTAATGAGTGTGGGGGTGGGAAGTGACTGTGGCATCTGGCTGAAGTCTGTGTGCTCAGGATGGTGCAGGCCTCCTGGTGCCTCTTGAGCCCCTCCGCCTGATAGCTGGGTGCCCACCCCTTATATGTGGGTGGTTTCCTTCTAACAGGAGGTGATTGTGGTCTGGATGGGGCTCAGCCCCACTTGGTCCCTTGCCCAGAGGGCCAGCATGACCTGGCAGGGTGAGGTGTTTTCCCTGCCCTGTCCACCTCCTGCTTCTCAGGTTGCCTCTCTTTGTCTTCATGTGCCTGGGGGTTGCCCTCTGCCAGTTCTCAGGGTGCTGCTGCTGGCCTCCCTGGTAGGGCCCACTGCGCCCTTCCTCCCACCTCCGTGCATGTGCCCTGTGTCAGCCTCTGCACTTTGCCTGCATGTCGGCCTCTCTCACTAGACTGGGAGCCTCTTGACGTCAGGGACTGTGATTCATCTGGGTCCTTAGTGCGCAGCGTGTGGCTGGGCAGACCTGGGTTTGAATCCTGGCTCCAAAGAACAAGTGTATTTTCTAGCTGTGTGTTCCTGGACAAGTTATGTGCCCTCCTTGAGCCTCAGTTTTGTCATCTGTAAAGTAGAGATGGACATAGGGTGATTGTGAGAATTAAATGGAGATAATCCATGGCTGTCACAGGCATGGGACCTGGCATTTCCAAGATGCTTCAAAATAATAAATATTATTGGAGTGCAAATAATACCATGTTTCCCCGAAAATAAGACACTGTCTTATATTTATTTTTTCTCAAGAAGATATACGAGGGCTTATTTTCAGGGGATGTCTTCCTCTCCGCACCGAAATGCATGGCTTGTCTATGCAGATACGCTGCATAGCCACGCCCATCATTAGGTCTTATTATGGGGGTAGGGCTTATATTTAACAAATGCATAGAAATCCTGCTAGCGCTTATTTTTTGGGTAGGTCTTATTTTAGGAGAAACATGATATCTGTTAATTTGTTTGTTCAACATGTGTTTGCTAAGCATACTGTCTGGGCCGGGGTAAGGCCTGGACTGGGTGTTGGGTGTATAGCAATTACCAAGACTGATACAGCCCTTCCCTCACAGAACTGACATTCCAGTGATAGAATCAGACATTGAGGTCAATGTAACACAGCTATTAATTATAACTCAGTAAGCTAAGTCTCTCAGATTAGAGGGTCCAGGGGCCACTTTGAAGAGGCAGGGAGGGCTTTCTAGAGGATAAGGATTGACACTGAAGGATGAATGGAAGCCAGCTGGGTGAAGAGGAGGAGGATGAGCAGGTGTCGAGTTCCTGACCAGAGAAACCCTGGAGCAGAGAGGAGCAGGTGGGGGCTGTTGTAGGGGAGGTAGAGAAATAAGGCTGGAGGAGCACATTAGGTTTGGGCCTTATTTTCCAGGGAGGTGACAGAGTCAGGCTAGTTTGCTGCTGTGTGGGGCAAGGGCAGAGGTAGCCGCAGATGCTGTTGCAGTGTTCCAGGGCAAGGAGATGGGAGATTGGGCCAGGGTGGTACCAGGGGGATATAGAGGAGGAGACGGTTTCAGGAGAATGTAGCTCAGATCCGTCTGATTGGATGGACAGAGGGCAAGTGATGAGGCCACTGTGGCCTCCAGCTTCTTGGCATGGGCCGAGTGGGTGAAGGGTGGCACCATTCAGCAGGAAGAAACTGGTGGTGGATATATGGATAGATGTCTCCGGGGAGGATGCAGGAGGCAGAATCTTAGAAGGACATAGCTGGAGGGAGCCTAAGGAAGCCTCCAACCCCGGCAGAGATGGGGTGAGGCCCCGAGATGAGGACTCACCCAGCACTGGTTTGTGGCAGAAATGGGACTTGAAACCAGTATTCCCTTCTGCTCTGATTCCCTGGAGGTGTGCACCCCATTTCCTTAGGAAGCCAGATGTGCCCTTCACTGTGTCCCCATCCTGCCCCTGCTCCCCCAACTCAGGTCATCCCAGACTGGAAAGAGCAGGAGTGGGACCCTGAGAAGCCGGACGCCTACGCGGGCATCTTTCACTTCCACTTCTGGCGCTTTGGGGAGTGGGTAGACGTGGTCATCGATGACCGGCTGCCCACGGTCAACAACCAGCTCATCTACTGCCACTCCAACTCCCGCAACGAGTTCTGGTGTGCTCTGGTGGAGAAGGCCTATGCCAAGTAGGTGCCAGCAGTGGGCAGGGGAGGGTGGCAGTTATGGGCTCCACGCGGTGTTCCTTTAGACAGGGCCCCAGGCGCAGAAAAGTGAGGGGCTGGTCAAGACACACAGTATTCTCAGAGCCCAGGCCCGAGGGCATAGCCCTCTGAGCTGACGCTGGGTGCGGTGGAGACCTGGACTCCAAGAGGGGAGGAAAGGTTACTTCATACAGAAAACTGAGGCCCAGGCAGGAGTCCTGCAGGTAGCTAGGGCCCCCTCGAAGCCACTGAGCTGCCACTGACCTTGGTGCAAATTCCTCTTCTCCCCAGCCAGGGGCCTTTGTGTTTTGTTTTTTGTTTTTGTTTGTTTTTTTTTAAGAACAGTGATTATTTTCACAGAGTCATATTCACTAATTTTTTTTTTCTTTTTTTTGAGACAGGGTCTCATTCTGTCACCCTGGCTTGAGTGCCGTGGTGTCATAGCTCATAGGAACCTCAAACTCTTTTTTTTTTTCTTTTTTTTTGAGACAGAGCCTCAAG